ATAGAACTTTTCAAGTCTTTTTGTAAGGTATGCCAGGAAAAAACAAAGAGACAAAAAACAAAAGGTGTTGTTGTCCGACCTATTCTTTCAAATGAATTTTCATCTAGGGGACAAGTTGATCTCATAGACTTTCAGTCAACGGGTGACGGGCAGTATAAATGGATTATGGTTTACCAAGACCATCTGACTAAATTCGTCGTATTGAGACCACTGACATCAAAAAGAGCTGGTGAGGTAGCTTTTCAGTTGGTGGATATTTTTACTTTACTGGGCGCTCCTGTGATTCTTCAGTCAGACAATGGTTCCGAGTTTACCGCAGTTGTCATCAGAGAGTTGAAAAAGTTGTGGCCTGAGCTTCGTCTTGTTCGTGGCAAGCCCAGGCACCCACAATCACAAAGTTCAGTTGAACGTGCAACAGTGACATAACGGACATGTTGATTTCCTGGATGTCAGACAACAGAATAGGTCATTCAATGCCGCCGTCAAACGATCGCCTTACCAAGCACTGATGGGTATTGAACCAAGGATGGACCTTAACTCGACATCTATACCAACGGAAATGCTGGACCAGTTTCAGTGAGAGGATGATTTACGAGCCTTTGCCCAGCAAACAGCTCAAGCAGCTCCTCTCATGTCGACGAAATCACCAACGTTGCTGCTCCTCATATCGACGAAATCACCGACGTTGCTGCTCCTCAAGTCGAAGAAATCACCGACGTTGATGCTCGTCACGTCGACGAACTCATTGACGTTAAATTTGCTGCTCATCATGTTGACAAACTCATTGACGTTGCTGCTCTTCACGTAGACGAAAGCACAGACGTTGCTGCTCATCATGTCAACGAAATCACCCACGTTGTCAAAGTCACATACTTTGCTGCTGCTAACAGGCAAGCCACAAACCTGAATTATCCTCATGTCGATCAAGTTGATGGCATTGGCACTGTCGAAAACGTGGCACTTCATGATGCTAGATAGACAGGCTCAAATAAACTTTCATAGAGAGCAGAGTAAGAAATTCCAGATAGAACAAGCAGAACGGCTGGTAAAAAGAAGTAGAATAGAACTCGCTCCTGATCAGAAAGGTGACAATGTTGCCTTTCCCATTCCTCTTGTTGATCGGGGCCGTGGCGACCTGCGAAACATTCTAGCTGTTGTTTTGGGCAGAAGTGACAACAGTAACTACACGCTAGCTACCAAACATGGAATCTTAAAAGGGGCATAAAGCAGAAACGAATTTGAACTTTGCCCTGAAAAATTACTTCTGATTAGTGATGTTAACTGCACCACACAGGTAAGTTTAAGAGAAGCGTTTGTATTTGGCTCTCAGTGTGGCGGTCAGGGTTACATCATAATCAGGGGCGGTTTGTTAAATGGGCAAGACCGGCGGTCAAATTTTTGTCAGCTGGACTGTTGACAAGAGATTTATTGCTGGTGATGATTTTCATTCAGTTTTAAGTAAATCCGAATAAACGTGTATCAATATTCAAAAAGCACCTTGCCGATTTGAAGGCGTTCAAATAGACAAGTGGGATTCACTGCTGTTTTGTCGCGACAGAGCCTCATTCCGTCACCTTTGTTTATCGCACCGGCTCGTAACTTTAAATCGTCTCTCGTCAAGCCGTCACGTCGCGGAACTTCGTACGAGGACAAACGAACACGTCGGGAGGACAAATCCATCGACTGCCCTGAGACTACTAAGAGTAAGAGCGAATATAGCGTCCCTTGATTGCCAAGTTGGCCTCCGTGTTGCTTACAAAATTGGTAATGAGACTGTCTTGAGTCTTGAGCAGCACAGACACATGAAATATTTCATCAGCAATACATGTACTTATCATTCAGCCTTTCTCTAACTATCTTCAAAACATTTATTGTCAGCATGGCACTAATCTTTTTTGTTTATTGAATTTTTAGCCACCTTTAGTTCCTGTTTGGTGACTATTCATCGCTTTCTCCCCACTA